TGACTCCCAAACATGCTATTTCTGTTAATGGCTCTTATTGAGATTTGACTTCATCATGTAGAAAACTGGCAGTCAACAGAGATATTAAATTGGGAAGCAGTATTACATTTGTTTGGACTATAATTCTGTTGATAGTGTGGAATAATGGAGTGAGGGAGAGATGGTGGTAGGGAGACCACGGAGGTACTTATTGCAGTGGCTCAGAGATGAGGTTCTGGATGAGAATACTGATAGTGCACATGGAGAGAAGATGCCGTTTCCTAGACCCTTCTGAGGTATAACCAGTCGTTTATGGTACTAGGTTAGATGTTGGGGATAAGTGAGATGAGATACCTTGGACACAGGTAACTTGCATTACTTTGCATCTTTGCACGTGCTCCTCTCCAAGGCCTCTACCTTGATAGCCTGAATAGATAGCAACACTGTTGATTAAAATTTGGAAGAGGAAGAACAGGTTTGGTGAGAAGATAAGTTCAGTTTTGGTCCTGCTAATTTTGAGATGCCTGGGGAAATTCAGTTGGTCTCCCTGAAGGGGAGTTAGAAATAGAGCTTAGAGGCTGCAGGGATAGGTCTGAGCTGGAGATTAAATTTTAGGAATGATCAGAATATATTTAACTTGAGGCACAGGACCTGGATTCAGACAGACCTATGTTTAAATCTTAGCTCAAACACTAATTACCTGTTTTCGAATTTGTAAAATGGGATATCTAACCCAGAATCTCTGTAGGGATTCAGTGAAAAACTAGAAAGCACTTGTTCTGAGTTCAGTAAGTGACAAAACTATCATTAGCTATTATTAGATTACAATAGAGACTTACTTATGAACAAACTCCACTACAGCAAAAAGCATTAAAAAAAATGGAATTCACTTAAATGGTCTCTGAAATGCATTTGCATGGAAGGCCTGTAAGGCATGGCAACAAAATGATAAGAAAAATGAAGGGATCATCAAAGTTTATCTACACAAGGCCACCAAATTGACCCAGTCAGTTTAAAGAACAAGTCTCACTAGTGTTTCTTTGTTTTGCTATAAAGGCATCATCAAGCATAAAAAA